TTATGAAGATACGTGAAAACCTGAGCATAAGCCCAAGTCCCAATAACCGCCCACACACTAAACATAATTACACCCTTGAGGATGGAAATGGTTCGTCCTATGACTAACAACCCTCTTTGGTGTAGCAAAACGCCCTAATAGAAGGGCGTTATTCCCAGACACTTACTTTTGACACCCCTAAAAGAAGGCGTTAATCAGTATACGCTCAAATTAAGGAGTGATTCCACACTACACCTTTTGATTGGGGTGTTATGACTGCGCAGTACGCGATCTAAATTGGGTGTACCAGCGCCTGAAAGGGAAGCAAAATAGGTGCAATGACCAATATCCATAACAGGGTGCAATAATCCAGAGTGCACGAAGAAAGGACTGAAAATGAGTCGAAGCATGCCTGGTTCACTTTTAGTTTTAGAGCGCAGCTCTTTGGCACCCGTTTCCGGCTTGAGCAGCGTCGCCGTCGCCGTCAGCGTAACCGCGCGGTTCATTACGGGGTGCGTGACGTCACTAGTGACGTCGTCATTGTCATGATGACGTCATCACAATGTCATCATCACGATGATGTCATCGCCAACAAGATGACGTCATCGTCACGCGTGACGCCATCCCTGACGATGGCGATGACGTCATCACGATGACGTCACGTGACCTCACGGGGGTCAGTAACCCCGGTGACGTCACGTGACCCCCGTGAGGTCACGTGACCCCCGTACTCCACGTGACCCCCGTGGACTGCCAAGGAAAGTTCACCTCTACACACGATCATGATAACTAGTGTCAGTGACGCAAGAAACCGCCGACGAAGCCGTCAGGACTTCTGCATCCGATTTCTCCCCCGTCCACACCGTGCCAGCAGATCGGAATTGACTTGGGACGAGGTGTTACCCTACGTCACGTTTGCTTACAACACGGTAGTGCAAGAAACTAAAGGAGTAACCCCGTTTCCGATGGTGCATGGCAGAAAAGTAACGGCCATGCTCGACGCAATACTACCCCACGATCCAGCTGGCGATGGGATCCCCGACGCCCAGGTGGTTGTTCAACAAGCCGAAGAAGTTCGCCAGCTCGCCCGACTCCGAATTGAAAACTATACGTGTCGAGGCTACGCTTGATAAAAAGTCGTTAAATATTAGTATACTGAATGTATACTAATAGTGTAATTCGCATGTGTACTAAAATTATACTAGGTTCACACTTTCATGAAACAAAATAGTATACTGTTAGTTCACCACTAGTACAAATGTTCACTATAAGTTCACTTCGAGTGTAGTTCTAGTATAAAATAAGTGTACATTTAGAATACTACATGCATACTTTTTGTGTACTGAATGTAGTACGCTACCAGTACATACATACACGGTGTCTTAGATAACTTGCACCAAACTTTAAAAAGAACCGGAGCGTTCTGCGGGAGTGAAACCAACTGTACGTCATTAACAACCCTTTTGCGAAAGTGCACAGTGCGCCCAGTTTTCTACTTATGACGAACCAGCTAACTTTTGAAATCTTAATTTAAAAGTCGAGGAGTGAATTGGAAAGTTGTAGAGCGCATTAAGAAACACCCAATTATACTATTTTCAACAAGTTGCACTTTGCATGCTCTTTTTTTGTAGCCTTCTAGAAATGCCCTCGAAATACAAGAGATACCGCGTGAAAACTCACTTCCACAATAGCGGCGCGCGGGCGCGCTTGATATAGTGCGGTCTTTCAAGGCCGGAAAAAAGCACGAAAGCGTATTATGTTGTTAACACTTTAAGTGGGTATTTCTCAATGCCCCCTGCGACTTTCTAGTTGACATCTTGGCCGTTAAAAGTGTGTTTAAAAGGTTACCTAATTAAACTTAGTTATTTAACCAGGTGCATTAAAAAAAATCTGTGCACTTTTGCAAGACGCTTGCTAACGACAGACCGATGATTTCACTCCTACAGAGCACTCCGGTGTTTCTTAAGCATGGTGCAAGTTATCTGGAACGCCGTATATGTCGGGCGTCATGAATGGAAAGAACGGTCTAAAATTGGCCATAAAAATTGGCGCCTGCATTTAAAAAGCTAACTCTTCAAAAGTGTTTCTTTGAACGGCTGGATTCCAACTTGTGAAATTTCCTGACATATAGCTCCATTCTCGTGAGATGCTAAGAAACGCCGTTGACAAATTAATTGATAATAATGCAGAGGCGCCACCATCGGGAGATACACTCTTACAAATGAGTCAGGAAATTTGCGAGGAAAAGTCGTGGAAGCTCTTTTTCCAAAACATTTCTCGTCAAAATAACGTACAATCATGTTATGAAATTGCGAAAAGTTCTAAAAAGAAAGAGCAGAAACATTTCCCCGCTAAATCTAGCTGAAAAATTTCACAGCTAAATCTAGCAGAAAAATTTCCCCACTATATCTAGCGGAAAATTTTACCCCGATAATTCTACCGGAAAAATTTCCGCGCTAAATCTAGCGCAAATTTTTCCCCGCTATATCTAGTAGAAAACCGTCCCCGCTAAGTCTAGCGAAAAAGTTTCCCCACTAAGTCTAACGGAAAATATTCCCCGTTAAATCTAGCGAAAAAATTTCCCCGCTAAATCCAGCGAAAAATTTTCCCCGCTAAATCTAGAGGAAATATTTCTCGCTAAATCTAGCGGAAAATTTTCCCCGCTAAATCTAGCAAAAAATTTTCCCCGCTAAATCTAGTGGAAAAATTTTCTCGCTAAATCTACCGAAAAATTTTCCCCGCTAGTGGAAAAATTTCTCCGCTAAATCTAGTGGAAAAATTTCCCCGCTAAATCTAGCGGAAAAGTTTCCCCGCTAAATCTAGCGGAAAATTTATCTGGGAATCACGTGACCTGATCCCCGAGGTCACGTGACCCCACCAAGGTCACGTGACCTCGGGGGGGGGGGGGGGGAGTCACGTGACCTGGGGGAGGGGTCACGTGACCCACCCCCCCGAGGTTACGTGACCCTCAGTATCTTTCCCTCCTCCTCCTCAAGAGCTGCGCTCTAATTCGGCGTTACAGGGAGCTGCAACCGGCTTTCATTTTCCGCTAGATAAATTTTCCGCTAGATCTAGCGGGAAAACTTTTTCGCTAGATTTAGTGCAGAAATTTTTCCGCTAGATCTACCGGGGAAATTTTTCCGCTAAATTTAGCGGGGAAATTAACCCATAATGCACCGCGCGGTTACGCCGACGGCGACGGCGACGCCGCTCAAGCCGGACACGGGCGCCTGAGAGCTGCGCTCTAAAAAGAGGCACCGCATTTTTAAGTTGCGAGCATAGACGTGAAAACGACACTTGAATCATTTGCAAATCTTCCCTTGTGAAAATAATATACACCAACTCATGTTTACAAACAAACTCGCGCGCCCCTAGCGGCACAAGCGGCGGCCGCGCATGCGCGATAGGGTGTGGGCAGAAAACCACGGCGTCCTATGCAAGCAACGCATTGGGGCGTTGTTGACATCGTCTACTTTCGCTGTTTTCACCGTTTTTACTCGTTGTCGATGACTGTGCGTCCCCGGAGAGATGTCTGACTATGTAAGTGGCCTAAGTGAGGCAGAAAAAGTGCGATACAAAGCGAAGCTTTGCGTAAATAGTGTTATGCATGGCGACCCGTACGGCGTGGACGCCGCAGAATGGACCCTAGCGAGTCGACGGTGGCCACCCGTCACTATGGTAAACATCACCTTGTATTTATTATTTACGCCGAGCCAATTTACCCCGGAAACCCTGGAGGCCTACAAGTCCTTGGAGGCTTACAATTACTTCGTTTCAGGTAAGCACAGCGGCAGTGAAGAGTGCCTGCCCAATCCAGCTGGTGCAAGTCGAGCGCGGCGGTTTCAAGTCAGAGGCTCAGACTGATACGATAAATTCGTTACTTCCGTGCTACGTAGCGAGATTTGTAAGATTTACGTCAAAAAACAACGAATCTAGCGAAACGTACGATATTGCACGTCTGCGGCTACCATTTTCCCGTCACCCGGGCCGCGTTTCGCGCTCGCTGTAACCGCAGCCGCCAAGAATTCCGTCTGTGGTCTTCGTTGTTTTCTTTTCTCACTTAATATCTTTTAGGTTTGAAACCGCACTTGCAGTATTGCTGCGTGCTTTACGCGCACAGGCGCTGTCCTTGATCTTGACTTGCATTTCTTCTCTGTGTATCTGCGTTTCTCAGCCTTCTGCATCGGGAACGTTCCGCATTTAGGGCCAATTTGTACGGTTAAGTGTTCCTAGCGATTCGGAACAAATTCGGTAGTTCATGCAGTCTCTCATTCTCAGAGATATTGCTTTATTGATCGCCCATTGCGCTCCTGGTACACTGTACAGATCGTGATCGTCAGTCTGCCCAGTATTTCTTGTACAGCTGAAAGGCTGTTATCAATATTTTTCAAGCTGCCGCAGTGTCCTTACGTGACGGATCCACTGAGATGTACCCTGTGCAAGTAAAGTTTAAAAAAAAGGACCAATGTTATATGTGCTTCATGAAACACAGATACCCTGCACATGTGCATACTATGCAGGCACAGCATGCTTGCAAACACTTGCCAGTGCAGGGCTGGTCTCGATATTTTTCTGAAACATAGGCTGTCATAGTCAGTGTGGTCATTGCAGAATAACGGCTGATCTCAAAACAAATGATACACTTTGTAAGGATTTAGTTAAAACGCATGTATTGGCTTTGCACTGTTGTCCAGGCCATGTGCAGGACATCAGACTCTGGCAGCCTGACGGACACGACACATGCTTCATTCGAGCAAATGTGAGACCGTCACAGAGGGCAACTGGCCCGCCTCATGATGCTTGGGTGTGCCTCGACAACTCCTCAGGACGGGTACATTCTGGCCATTGCACATGTAAAGCTGGGTAAGTCCCTGCTTAACCTCATCTGTAACAGCATTGACCCCAAGCAATAGATATGAATAAACAATATTTTTTTCCTTCCAGTCTGGGTGAGGTGTGCAGCCACATTGCAGCAGTCTTGTTTGGTATTGAGTACAGTTCAAGATTGTGTCAAGAGGCCTCATCATGCACCTCCCAACCTTGTGCATGGACCAGGAGTGCGACAAAGAAAGTATGCTTTATCCCCGATATATTTGACATCTAACTACTATCATACAATATTTTCACAACTCGTGAGAATGATTTTCATTCTTTTTTTTTTTCTTTTCTTGCCATGTGCAGGGTGCTGAAATGTACTATGATTTGCATAGTCCCGTCAAAATAATTGAATCAACACATTTCTTTTTTATTAGTACGCTATTATCGGTTGGCTGTCATGACAACAAACATCCCCCCTCTAATGTGCAAGCTTAGGAGATCGCAATCAGTATGCACTAGCAGTACGCCGTATGTGCACCTGACCTGTATCGACACATTTCGTGGATAGTGGTCGGATACCTGCATATTTAGTCTCGCACAGCCACATCCTTTGTTCTTTCAATTAAATTCTTAATCATGAGTGGATATCCAAGCATAAAGTATGCCTATTCAGAGCTCTACTCAGGGGCAGTGTTGTATGGAACGGCGTTCCTGGAACGCGTTCCTTTTAGGAGGAACGAAGGAACGTTGCCGTTCCATTTTCTTCGGTGGAACGGGAAGTCGTTACCTTTTTACTAAAATAAAAAAAGAACGGCATTTTTTTTCGTCGTCCAGTGGGCTAATTTGTATTTTATTTCTAAGAGGGAAATTCTAAAAATATAAAAACAATACCTTTTTGAAGAGCAGGATCTCGTTAAAAGTTTTGGTTGCTTATCTCAACGTTTATTTTTCGGAGTCCTCGCTTAATAACGGTCGGGTGCAGGAGAGCTAGTGGACATTGCTTATTTTTTCAGTGCCCGAGATTGCGGTTCATAAACCAAAATTTGTCGTCGAAGGAAAAGACCCAGAAAGAGGGACGTTTCAAACTTAGCTACTTCGTTTGCAAACACGAATCCTCATACACCCAGAACTCTAAGGCCGACTACAGCCATTACTGAACTTCCACAGACTTACAGTTACAACAAAAGAACAGGTTACCTGACATCGAACACACTCTTGTAACCCAAATATTGGTCACTTAAATGATACAAAAAAAAAAAACTTCATTTCTTCTCTCCTTGTTCCAAACCTTGAAACTGAACAACGAATCCAACTTTCACGAAGAAACCTTGTAGTTTTCAAGACTGACCTTCAAAAGCCCTACCCTCTTCTTCACTTGCTTGTCTTGTGGACACCAACATCAAGAAGCAACTGTTAAATTCGAACAAGGGACTTTGTGAGATTGAAATGTGGGACATTGTTGTAATACGCTCATGCAATCTGGGGTAACAGTACATTTGGCTCGTCTGATCAACCACCACAAAAGATGGTAAAAAGCCGAGAGTTTTAATGGTGAATAAATCAGCAAATGAAACCCTGCTTTCGCGTGTCTTCTCCTGGTGCCCTTCCCTTGCTGCATTCAAATTCGTATTTTGCCATTTGATGGGATAGATTAAAAAAAATTTACTTGATCTAACTCAATATGGTAATCAGCAAAATACAAATGTAACGTATATGTAATGATGCGTTTCATTTTTTTAACTGTAACGGGAGCGAGTTCCTTTTTCACATAAGAAACTTGTAACGGGAACACGTTCCAAAAATTAGAAGGTACAAACTTTCATTCCTTTTCTTTTTTTTTTTTTCTGGAGCATGTACAACACGGCTCAGGGGTTGTACTGCTCTATCTGAAAAAACAAAATGTTTGTGACTGCACTAGAAATTCAGAGGCAGCCAGATGCAAGAAATTACTTTGGAATCTCAGCACTGTTTTGTCAGACCAAACCTCTTTTTCACTTGTGGGGCTTTTTAAAGCAAGTGCGGTGCAAATGTGACTGTCTCCACTGCAGGAAGACATGGTCCCCGTGCACAAGCTGGACTTAAGTAAGCCCGGGATGCCAAGCAGGCGTCTTCCTGATGAGCCCAACCATGTAGCCCATGACTACAACCCCGACGACAGGGCCCTCTTCCAGGAGATCCTGAGGCTGAACCCAAAAGCGGTCGTCCTCAGGTCTATACCTAAGATGAACGACGAGGACACAGATTCGGCACCTGAAGACGAGCAGTCTTACACATTCTTAAGGCAAGTTAAATGCTTGTTACCGTTATTAAATATCTCATCAACAGAACTAGCTTACAATAGCTATGTTTCCTGAGGCATAAGACAACATGGACTATGATGAGCAATTTTACAATTTATAACACACTTGGGTTTTTTTGACATCTGTATCCTATTGGGCCGAGCAGTCGCGTCTTCGGCAAGTGTGCTTTCTCTTGTGCTAGCTTCAACATTTACATAACAATCAACGATACTTCATAAGTGCAAGAGTTGTCCAACAAAATTTGACTGTGGCAGTGCTTACTGCCTCATTGTGAAAGACATTACCCATCAGGGACAGAAGTTGACGTTCCACATATTCATATATGAGGGACACACCCCTTTTCCAGTTCTTTTTGTAATGTTTCTAAATCAATTTTCTGAAGGAAAGTGAGACGGACGGGGGCAACGAGAGCTTCACTGCCATTCGACATGTTTGTGCCCATCAACGAAATCGAGCGGATCGAGAAGAGCACGCGACGCCAGGCAGTAACCATATTCTGGCGGCAAGTTCGGTATGGAAGAATAACTGCCTCGGTACTGAACAAGGTATGTGAATTGTTGACATTTTCTCGCCTCTTGCAGGGAGGTTTTAGTATGCAGTCTTCTTTTTCCTTCAACAGGTGCAGACGATGAGGGATAGTACGTCGCCGAAGGCCACCCTGGACCTGATCCTGCAGAGGAGCCCTCCCGTCGACACTGAGGCCACCCGCTGGGGGATCGAGAAAGAGCCAGTGGCGAAGAAAGCATACCAGGAGTACATGTGCACAAAGCACAACGACTTTCGGCTCTGCGACGTTGGATTTGTGGTCGATGTCAAGGTTGTACCTACAACATTTATCGCAATTTTGAATATGCAAAAGCAGATATTTTTGACGCAAATTTCTTGATTTATATTGCAATGGCAACAACTGTAACACTGCTGCAACAAGTCCTATGGTGTTGGTGGTTGACTTGACCGACCTGATATAATGCAACAATTCGCATGTCTTGCATTCTGGAGGATCTATGCGCCGGGAACGATTGTAAACTCACTTTTAGTGCCTTAAGCAGCCTGTGCCTTAGCATGACTTGCCATTGTCAACATGGCTATTTCTGCACTCCACACCTTGGGTTCCTGTGGCTGCAGTTTCTGCTTCCTAGCACTTATTTTAAACACGGTAACATACAAAGCAAACAACAGTTTTCGAAACTACACTCTTCCATATCCCCAGAAAAGTGCATTACCATAACTATCCATTTTATTATCAAATCAATTATTGTACATAATATACTGCTAATAAGAGTAAGAAGCACCTAATGCTTTATTCCAATTTCAACCCACTACATACGTCGCTCTTCAGTGGAGGTGCAGATATCGCTGAATCATGCATTAAAGAGATGCTGAACCAAAATCTGGCTTCCCCAAAACACGCGGCAAAAGCGTGCAACGGGATGCTACAAACACCAAACATCACTCATACAGCGATATCTCGAACGGATGACCGTATCTCTCAAAGGAGGCGCATTTGCCAGGAATGTTGATGTCATGTTTCTCCGAGAAGGACAGGGAACGGCCTCGCGTCTTCTCCGCCTCGCCGCCTTGATGGAGCGAAGCAAAGGGAGGAGGAAACAAGGTATCTTGACATCACGCGCCTCGTCGGCCTGATTCAATCTCGACCTCTTTTTCCAAAAATACGGTTGTCCATTTGAGATATCGCCTTACGAGTAGTGTTGTAGGGATTGTAGTGTCCCGCCTACATCTCTTGCATTGTTTTCTCGAAATCCAAATTTCGGTTCACCATCCCTTTAAAGCTCGCATAGAGAACTTATCTCATGCTTCATATGTAAAAAAATGTCTGGGCGTGCTGTTATTATCACCCTTCTTTTTTTTTCTTTTTACTGGATGTGTTCAGGATAACTTCCTTGGGGCCTCTCCAGATGGGATCTGGACCTGCAGCTGTCACGGTGTGGGCACACTGGAGGTCAAGTGCCCATGGTCATTGCGGCATAAGACGTCCAGTGCCACACAGCACGAGTGCTTTAGAGATGACTTGCAACTAAAGGAGTCACACAAACATTACACACAGGTGCAGACACAACTTCATGTCTGCCGAAAGGAAGTGGCGCACTTCCTTGTATGGACGCCAAACGATTGGGTTTTAACGGTTGTGCCTGTTGACAGATGCTTCTTTGCTCCTGTACTGGAGAAAGCACGAGCATTCTGGGCTGACCATGTCGTACCAGAGCTACTGTGAGTTTGTGGTGTCCACCAATGAAAATGGAAGAACGGTCCAGAGGGTAGATGACAGTGTGGTACCGGGGCCTAGCGAAAATAGTCTTTGCTTTGCCACTGTCATCACTTTTGTTAAGGGTTAATGAACCATAATTTGTATTCACAAAACCAGGCAGCAAAAGCGCCCAATAGTATGTTACAAACCCATAAGCACCACTCAAAGCAATATCTCGAATGGACAGCCATTTTTGAAAAAAAAGGGTGCGGTGTAGCAACTCGCAACGTCACATTTTCTCCAACTCTCGTAAAAGATACGAGACAGCACGCGCCTTGCTCTATTCTACCATTTTTGTTAAAAAATGTGGCCATCCGTCCAAGTTATTGCCGTATGGGTAATGTCTTGGGGGTTTGTAGCGTCCCGTCTGATGCTTTTGCTGCCTTGCTTGGCGAATTCCGGTCCATCATCCCTTTAGGTTTTGTCGATTGTCCTGGTTCCTGTGCATAAGTTTCACCATCGATTGCTATTTCCTTATCTTTCTTTGAATCCTGCTAACATATCCAATACTGTGTACCATCTTCAAGCTGTCTATTTGCTGTGCATGTAATAAATGGTATGCATATTTAAGGTGCCTACCCGGTGTCCATGATAGTGACTAGCATAGACCATGACTCAAGACAGCACTGAAAATTTTCAAGCAGTGTTGCCTTGGTGGCATTTTAAATTTCAGCCACAATGGTTACAATAAATCGGTGGTCTAGTAATGAGACGGGCTGCGACGAAAAGAGAAACAAACTTTATTATGATCTTTAGCTTCCTACGATATGACAAAAAAAATGTATCCCCATCTAGGTGAAAAAGACAAAAAATAATTAGGGACGTTGGAGAGTACACAAAAGCATGTCATTTCTAAACAGGCAGAACAAGATTTTTAAGTATATTTCCATAGTAAATACAGAAAGTAGTCAAAATAAACTGAAATGGCAGTCGTGCATGTGCAACTCACTAGGTAAAAGGATGTGCAACCTGGTATTTCTACAACACTGTTCCTAGAGATTCTCCAACATCTAGAGCTTCCTTGATTGTCTCTGCTGTCAAAAGAAGCATTTCCCCCACTTAGGCTCTGTTTTGGCAGAGTTTAACATGTCTAAGCTTTTGCACAGCCTTATCACCACAATCTTAAGATGGAGGGGCACCTTGGCTATCAGTTTGGAGAATATAATGGTACTGCACCTCGTTATGTAGATCACAATGTGCTTTTCGGTTCAATATGTCAGGAAGGGGGGGGGGAGGAGAGAAAAATTGTTTTTAAGAATTATCTAGATTTTCAAATGCAATCTAACTTGTGAAGCAAAATATTGGACTGGTTCAGTGCCCACCGATCTCGCCGAACATTGTGCCAGCATGTGTTCGTGTAATCACTGCTTGCACGGTGCACTTTAAAGGAACACTACAATGAAATATCGGCACTTATTAACGCGCAAGCATTAACTGTCTCATGGAGCGAGCTGACGTCATCAGCTTTGAAACCATGCATCGAGCAGGCGACAAAGGGAGCGGACAAGCGGCTTGCATGCTTTCGCATTCACAACTCGTAAGAAATGCTTAGGTGTACCTCAAGCTTTTTTTTGGGGGGGTTTATACGTGTTCAAAGGAGCAGTATCGCATCGGACGCACCAATATCTTGTAAAAGAAGACACAAAAAAGAATTTTCAAGCTGATTAAACGATTAGCAAAGAGCACCTGGTGGATGTTGCTAAAGCCTCGTTTGTAAGGCCCATCTAGGAACCTCTAGAAGATTAACCCGTCACTCAAAATTCACACAAAAGCAGCTGCGTGGTTAGTCGCGGTGGGCCGATTGCTGGTGTGCTTCAACCGCTTTGGTGGCTGGAACGGCTAGGGCATCCTGACCACGTCGGCCTCGCTGCAGCTTTGCTCATCCCAAGAAAACTACTTAACGATTGCGCCGGATGTGACGTGCGTGCTTTCTGCTGGCTGCTCTCCGGGCGCTTGCCAGAGTGGACCATTTGTAACGAAAAAAACAGCCATCAAGTTCAAACTACAAACGTGTGATTGTCATTTACAGATATTGTGGATCATATTCAGCCTATTTCTGAACACGACGGGTATATTTAGAATTTCTTTGAAGTACCCCTTAAAGACCATGGCTTAGTAGTTGTACTGGACATTGGCCTAACTATGCATCTACAAAAGAAAACCAAGTGCCCACATTTTGATAGCTGCCTAACTTAACGCTGTCTAAGCATCCACACAGCCCAGTTTATTTTTTTTAACAAAATATGAATTCAATATTGACGGTGGAGGAACAAAGGAGTAGAAGGTAATGAAAGAGTTGTAGATAAATATTCATTTAACAAAGAAACCCTGTTCATGTAATTGTTGGGGACAAAAGTATTTACAATGCATTTCATCTAAAGACAACAACGGACAATGCTGACAAAAACAATGCTTTGGAAAGCTCGGTGTGACAGCCATCACTAAAAAATGCAGGTCCCTTGGTGGCAGCTGGCTTCGAAAAAGTCTGAGGAAAAAAATAAATGTCTTTGGCCAATGAGCTTTCCAGGAAGTTCCTTTGAAAAAGAAATGCACACAGGTTAGGCAGGTTTCCCTGCCTTAAAGAGCCCCTAAAAGAAAAAGATTTTTTTTCTTTTTAACAACATGGTTGGGACATGCATGTCAAATAACTAATTCTATGCGAAAGAAAAAATTTTTAGAGCAATATTGATGCCGCGAGATGCGATTTAGTTGACAGTCGCCGCCTTTCCACTTGTTTTCCCTCGGCATTTTGGGTACAGGAAGGAGTGGTGGATCGGCTTCACCTTCGCGACCGAGATGGTCATTCCGGAATGACACGCGACGTCGTCTTCGCACAGAATTTCAAATAAATCTCTTGCCGCCAGTATTGATCTTAAAAAAAAAGTTTCACATAAAATTTATTTTTTGACATGAGTGTCGCAACCAGACTGTTCAAAACAAATTTTTTTTTTCTTTTCAGGAGTTTTTTAATTAGTGCACAGTACCTGCCTCACGAAAAGCCCTACATCAATTTCGGTTTTAGGTTTGTGATGCCAGAGCATATTAGTAAAATGTTTGTGGCATGTCGCAGTAGCGTTATGGGCAGCCTGTCCTGAAGAATTCTAAAAACCTTGATGCGACCAATGGCACGCTCTACATGAACCCTTATCTTTGACATCTTCCGCGCTGTCTCCACTTCCTCTGCAGGGAGCTGTCTTTTGCCCTTTGTGTACGCTGGCACAACCAGCCTAGCTCCGACCCTGCCAATGTCCTCGCGAATAAGGAACCCCCGGTCGGCTAGAACAGTGTCCCCAATCTCGAGCTTGTCCAGCAGCCCACTTCTCTGTGTAAGCCGCTTGTCCGACACTCTTCCTCCCCATGCCTTTGAGATGAAGCTTACTGCACCGCACGGTGTCACACCCACAAGAAACTTTATAGTGTTGCACGACTTGTAGTGCGAATATGTTTGCGAACGGGCAGTGAAGGCTAGTGGCCGCTGAATGCGGCATTCTGAGCAGTCTACGATCACACGACACCGTGGATAGTAGCGACGCACAAGGGTGGGCATTGTCCGTGCAATGTCTGGTTGTGTAGGCCAAATGATAAATTTAGAAAAAGTCTCGGCAAGTAAAGGAATGAACTTCACCATAATGTTTGCAACTGTCCCCTCCGACACATTGAACCGGAAAGCAAGATCGCGATTCAGCAGAGCGAGGCGCAGCTTAGCCAGCACCATGAAGACAGCATCCCCAAGGGAGACGGCCCTTGGCAGGTACTTCGTGCCTTCTCGCACCAACTGGACGATCAGCGAAAACATAACCATGCTCGGCAAGCCGGTATAGAACTGCACTGATGATTCAGTGAGCTGCTCGGCAGAAAATGATGTTACTCGTCTGTCTTGCAGACCTTCACGTAGAGTTCGGTTGTCAGCCAAAAGTTTCGCCTCTTTGTCTTGAAGGCGATGTACCTCCTTCTGCAGGGCTTCAAACTTGGAAGCTGAAAAGCAGGCCACATTTCGTACAAATATTAGTGCCACTCTAGAATTGGGACAGATTTTAAACCGTGTCCCACTGACTTACAGCAGATGAAACAAGGGACTGCTACCACCACGTCCGTTTGAGTTGAATTCTCGGCGATGAGCCCGTCCGAGCCTGAGATTGTCAGAACAATAAGCATGTAAGAAAGGACAGACAAGAATAATACAGGAAAAAATTCTGATTACAAAATTCGTAGCATACAGCATGAAACCGAAACTAAGCGGGGAAGAGCGCCGGTAACGTCGATGCTCCACACTTCCAAGCATGCGGATCGTCAATATCGCAGCCGGCTTCGCTTGAGCAAGCGAAGCCGGCTGTGATAATGACGATCCACGTGCCTGTAAGGGCGGAGCGACAACGTCATGTACAGTCTGGACGCAGTCAAACATGAAAAATAGACCGATGGGTTTTCAGTGCACTGCTGTCTCTACGCCAAAGCTTGGCACCCGCCAGGCTGGGGTCTAACATATTGCCACGAGCGCAGCTGGCCAAGTATGCAGCGCGTCCGTGGCCGAGCGGTTATCGTGCTTGGCTCCCACGCTGGAGGGCCGAGGTTTGATGCCTGGCTGCGGATGCACCTTCTTGTTGTTTCTGTAAATGACGCGTTCTGGCGAATTCGCGAACCCTGTCGCTTATCGGAGGTTCGAACGTTCTATGCGACAAACCTTCTGCGGCAATTATTCCAGAAGCCCCTGCGTGTACATAAGGGGCTCTGCGTGGCGAGCCGGAGTAGTCTCGCCGCAGCGCTCGTTCCTGCTGTTTCACAGACATTGATGCCTGCGACGCTAACCTTCTATTTTGTTTTGGGCAAAAGTTCACTCCATAACACGTTTCGTTTCTCCAGTTATTATCCCCTTCATTATTTGTCATTTCGATCAATATCCTACACTGATGTGTTAGGCCCTCACTCGGCAGTAGGCGCATCCCAAGCTTCATCATAGTGCCGACGGTGCAATGAAAACCACTGGCCTACTTTTAGCGTTTTATTGCAAACATAATGTGGGAGCAGTGGTCGAAACTGATATTGGAGCCGTCTACTCTATGGAGGGCAAGTTCGTCTGCTTCTTGCGCAGGGGGTAGCGGTGATGTCAGAACGCCGAGCCCTGATTGGCTGATAGCGACCCTTTATCTGAGCATAGTCTGCTCCTTTGCAACGTCGTCTGCTCCTTTGCAACGTCGTCTGCATCTGTCTTACCTTTCCTGTGACTTTCGGAAGTGCAGGTCTTTACGAGCGAGCTCGACTTCGCCTTTCAGAGAGGGCAGACGAAATAACTCAAGCGGTACATTGTTTTTGTCTAGCAACTAGCAAACACGCATCAAGGAGAGAAGTTGAAGGACTCACTGGCGACGAGGCGTCCCGAGGCGCCGAGGTTTGTTTATTAAGAACCAAGAGTGAGGGTGTCTAGTGTGCGCAAGTTCTCTTCCAAATACTTTTTCCCGCCTTTCGTGTGCGGCGAGACTCCACACAGCGGTGAATCTCCGACAGACGCAGGAAAGGTAAAGCAGCCATCGTTTTAACTAGCAGACGTAAAGCAGATGACGTTAACTGCGCCAACCATGCCAACCCTGTCAAAGAGTGAGGAGTCTCGCCGCACACAAAAGAAGGGAAAAAGTATTTGGGAGGGAACTTGCAGACACTAACCACCCTCACTCTCGGTACTTAGCAAACAAACCTCGGCGCCTCGGGACACCTCGTCAGGGAGTCCTTTGACTTCTCTCCTTGATGCACGTCTGCTAGTTGTTAGACAAAAGCAACGTACCACTCGAGTTATTTTTTTCTGCCCTCTCTGAAAGACGAAGTTGAGCTCGCTCGTAAAGACCTGTACTTCCGAAAGTCGCAGGAAAGGTAAGACAGATGCAGACGACACTCAGATAGGGGGTCGCAATCAGCCAATCGGGGCTCAGCGTTCTGATGTCACCACTACCCCCTGCGCAAGAAGCAGACAAACTTGCCCTCTGCATTAAAAGCGATGCTGCAGAGGATAAAGCGAATCTTCCCCACTCCCCAATAGTTATCACCATGACCCCCCCCCCCCCCCCCCCCGTCTTTGTCGACCTAATTTTTAGTTTGTAGTCGCTGTTCCATTTCAAATTTGATTATGACTTTTTGTGTTTGTTCTAAAATCACTGACAGGGTTTACGAATCAGAAGTTTATTGTATTGCTCTTAGGAGTAGTGCCTTATTAACCACGTATGACGTGTACCTAGATGGTCCAACGCATTTCCCATGTGGGCTGCCTTATGCCAATGATTGTGGAGCTTCTCTGATAAGCACAAACCTAATCTAAGCATCAAAAAAAGCACACAAGCATGAAGATGTATTTCTGTTATTGCTTTACAATGTATCAGTCATCAGATTAAAAGTGGGAGTGTAACAAAAAAAAACAGCGCCTTGAGTGGCCAGATTGTGCTGGCAGATGATGCATGCAGTCTCTCCAGCCGCTGCTCGCACATTATATTTAACAGTTGAGCATACTGTACCTAGTGACTCATGCTCCTGTGTTGGAGGTGGTTCAGCGATGTCACGTTCAGGGTTGTCGTCCGTTCTGGGACTGCTTGCAGCATCTAAAGTAAGCAACAATAGGAGTTGTGAGACGAGATAGAATATGCACACCTGTGTTCCGAGATTTAATAACCTACTACCATGTAATTAAAGAATGGTCACACAAATGGAGCATCGGAAGCAGATACAGCAAACAACCAATAGACCGATCTCACCAGCTGTTCTGTGCATGCTTGGCAGCACCATAAATCTAGTTCACAGGGGCCAGACGGCAGTGCACGAGACTGCACATACCGTTCCAAGCTCTGCTTGCGCAGGCCCACAGCAGTGTTTTTGTGGATCATGGCAGCGATGGTGTGGCGAAACTGACCAATGAGATTAGTGTATTAAAGGGGAGGTAGAGCAGTTCTGTATTTGATCAGAAACACAAATTGCATTCATTTGGCCTTCAGACCAATAAAGATAACAATTATGTTTCGACTCAACGTGCCGGAGGGCCATAAGAGCGATTTCAAAACAGAGCTGAAACCATGCCCTTCTGGCATTCGGCAGCCTGAAGCCTCATTCACACAGCCGTTTTTTCTCGCGGCCCGGCGAAAACGCCGGCAGTCTTTTGCGCCGGGGGAGAGGATGTTGGCACCGGTTTCCGGCCGAAATCGGGGCGCCAGCCCCGAAAAGGGCCCTATGAAGATGTTCAACATCCCCGGCACCGGCGAGAGAGCGGGAACGCCGGTGCCCCGCCCCATCGAGGGGCGGCCAATCACAAAATAGGAAAGTTTCGCTAAATTTGGCAGATTCGCAAAAGATGGGTGATCATGGGCACGGCCGTGGGAGGGAGAGTTGACCGTATTGTGCCCTAACGCCCTAACTGCCCTAACGACGAAGCCAACAAAGCTCTTTTCGGGAAGGATGGAGGCCAGCGAGACGACGGGCGCATTGTGTGATGTTTACGGTTCTTAAACAACGTGCATACAGAGATTTGGATTTACCGCTGAGCTGCTGCTCGAAATGGTGAGACCACATCGATTCCTTTGCAATAGACGTAAATGTGATTTTAAGGAAGAACAGCTGAAGAAACAAAATACGGTCGTCGATCATCGAGGACGAAATGCGTCGCAAGGAGTGATTGATGTGAAATGTGCTCGCGGTGGGTGTTGTCGTTTTGGTTTCAAAAGGTCGAGACAAATAAAATGTATTGAAACATGCAAGATCGTTATCGGCGAGCCAAACGCAAGCTCTGAGGAACAAAACAATTGTGGCTGCGCCCGTCGACGCCGATCGTCCGCTACATTTGGTGGTCCTCGCTGCCACAAAGTAGCTACAACTACAGGATTACAAGATTCGTAATAGAGATGGAGGGAAGTGTGTAATTGCGCACGAAATAATAGGTTATATCGGTTATACAGTTTTACGGGATACAAACGTTCGAAGCAAAATTTAAAAGGTGCACGAAGATGTCTAAGCTAGGTGACGCAAGCTACCGCCCAATATAAGGGGGCACAGCCGCCAGCATCGCCGGCAGCTCCGCCGCCGCCGCTGGTTCGAACACTCCTTTGTCCCCGCACCGTCCCGTTTTCGGCACGGCGCCCACGGCGCTTTCGCCGGGATGGGGCGAAACGCCGGCTGTGTGAATGAGGCCTAACGCTCCGTCGATGACGTCACATACAGTGACTCTTTTTTGTGTCGTCTCACGCTAAACAATGCCTGCGAAGCAAATGGTTTGGTTATTTGGGTTTACAGGGTAAAAATTGCTAAAATTTGCCTCAAGCTTATTTTTTTTAAGAACCTCCGTAGCTTCTCTTTAAAACTGCTGTGCGTTGTCAGTTCTGAGCTCAGTACCTGGCGCTGCGTGGTCCTCTGTTAGGGGTGTGTCACCTTCGTAGCTTTGGCTCTCTGGAATCCTTGCAGCTTTTAAATTAAGCAACAAGAAAAGTTGTGAGACAAGATAGAAAATCTACACCTGTGTTTTACATTTCCTAATCTAGTACCATGTAATTAAGGGACGTTCCCTTAAATCAGCGATGCTGCAGAGGATAAAGCGGCCTTTCCCGAGATTGTCGGCACTCCCCTATAGTTATCACATGACCTTCCCGTCTTTGTCAACCTCATTTTTAGTTTTTATTCGCTGCTCCATTTCGAATTTGATCACGACTTTTCGTGCTTGTTCTAAAATCAGTGACAAAGTTTACGAATCAGAAGTTTATTTAATCGCTCTCAGGAGTAGTTCCTTATGAACCACGTATGACGAGTGCCTAGATCAGGGGTGGCCAAGCTAAACCGGCCTGAGTGCCGCAAACAAAACCGCGAAACTTCCAAAAGCTGCAAGGGGGGGGGGGGGGGGGGGTCAAACTTTTGTCCAGAGCAATAAACAAAAGTCTAACTACTTCCAGTCTATCCAAATCAAAAGCAGTCCAACTGGATGTAAGATAGCTGTAGCACAAGACTAACAAACCGCAACCTGTTTTTCGATTTAAAACGTGTTCCGTTTCTTCTCTTGGGTAAGTGCTCGTGTGACCGCGGGGGAGGGGGGAAAGAGTGTGTGTGTGTGTGTGCGTGTGGGGGGGTGTTAGGGGAGGGAGCCGCGAGCCGCACTATAACACGCAAAGAGCCGCATGCGGCTCGCGAGCTGCAACTTGGCCACCCCTGGCCTAGATGGTACAGAGTTTCACATGTGGGTTGCCTTATGACGATGATTGTGGAGCTTCTCTGATAAGCACAAACCTAATCTAAGCATCAAAAAAACATACAAGCCTGAAGATGTTTTTCTGTTATTGCTCTACAATGTATCGGTCATCAGATTAAAAGTGGGAGTGTAACAAAAAAAAAAAAAGAGCGCCGTGAGTGGCCAGGCTGTGCTGGCAGATGATGCATGCAGTCTCTCCAGCCGCTGCTCGCACATTACAGTTAACAGTTGAGCATACTGTACCTAGTGCCTCATGCTCCTGTGTTGGAGGTGGTTCAGCGATGTCATGTTCGGGGTCGCTGTCCGTTCTGGGACTGCTTGCAGCATCTAAAGTAAGCAACAATAGGAGTTGTGAGACGAGATAAAATATGCACACCTGTGTTCCGAGATTTAATAACCTACTACCATGTAATTAAAGAATGGCCCCACAAATGGTGCATCGGAAGCAGATACAGCAAACAACCAATAGACCGATCTCACCAGCTGTTCTGTGCATGCTTGGCAGCACCATAAATGTAGTTCACAGGGGCCAGACGGCAGTGCACAAGACTGCACGTACCGTTCCAAGCTCTGCTTGCGCAGGCCCACAGCAGTGTTTTTGTGGATCATGGCAGCGATGGTGTGGCAAAACTGACCAATGAGATTAGTGTATTAAAGGGGAGGTAGAGCAGTTCTGTATTTGATCAGAAACACAAATTGCATTCATTTGGCCTTCAGACCAATAAAGATAACAATTATGTTTCAACTCAACGTGCCGGAGGGCCATAAGAGTGATTTCAAAACAGAGCTGAAACCATGCCCTTCTGGCATTCGGTAGCCTAATGCTCCGACGATGACGTCACATACAGTGACTCTTTTTCGTGTCGTCTCGCGCAAAACAACGCCTGCGAAGCAAATGGTTTGGATATTCGGGTTGACAGGGTAAAAATTGCTAAAATTTGCCTCAATCTTATTTTTTTCAAGAGCCTCCGTAGCTTCTCTTTAAAACTGCTGTGCGCTGTCAGTTCTGAGCTATGTTCAGTACCTGGTGCTGTGTGGTCCTCCGTTAGGGGTGTGTCACCTTCGGAGCTTTGGGTCTCTGGACTGCTTGCAGCTTCTAAAGTAAGCAACAAGAAAAGTTGTGAGACAAGACAGAAGATCCACACCTGTGTTTTGCATTTCCTAATCTAGTACCATGTAATTAAGGGATGTTCCCACAAATAGGGCACCAAAAGCAGGCACAGCAAACAGCCCAATTGACGTGTGTGCTGTAAGTCATGAGCTTATGTTGTGTACTACAGTGGACAAACGTCCCCAGGACACACCTGCAGGGACTCAATCGCGTCACTTTGCCACCTGCTTGTGGCTCACCTGGTTTCGAGACCACAAAAGAGCGCATGCAAATCCTGCTGTGCCTGCAGAGATGTGTGTTTATCCGCTCTTCTGCGATGTAGTACTTGTCGCAGTATCTGGCACGAGGCACAACTTTGGCAGTCGCAGGTGATGGACGCCTGCCTCGGATGCAGCCACTAGAGAACGCTTGCGGCTCTGCGGCTCAAATTGCTGGCCGATAACGAGCCTGGCTTTTGAATTCGGTAATTCAATGTTCCTCTTCATACTGTGATTATAAGGGCACACTCGATGATATGGCACCAATGAATACAAGTCACGCCAGTTAACTGAGCAAGGAGCTCATTTCGTTTGAAAGCCGAGGTGGCTGATCGAGCAATATGCACGGCAAAGCTAAAAGCGCTATCTTCAATCATGGCACCTCACTCCAGTATCTGCGGCAAGCATTGAGAGACGAACAGTGGAAAAACACGCGCCTGCGAGCACAGTAGGACGTGCAAGCGCTCTTCTACGGTCTCAAAACCAGACAAGCCATTGGCAGACGGCAAAGCGGTGTGCTTTTGTCACCACTCACATGTCCTGGGGACCTTGGTCCACGATAGTACCTGATGCTGTATGCTCTTGTGTTGGGGATATGGCAGTTTTGGAGTTCTGTGCTGTCCTAGCAGTGTTTTGCACCACTAAAGTAAGTAACAAGAAGAGTTGTGGGATAAGATAGAAGGTGCACACCTGTGCTTGAGATTTCATAACCTAGTACCATTTAATTAAAGATGTTCACACAAATAGGGCGCCGCCAAAAGTAGGCACAGCAAAAAGCCAATTGACGTGTGCACTGTAATTCCTGAGCTTATGCTATTTACCTGGCGCTGTGTGGTCTTGTGATAGGGGTATGACACCTTCCGAGCCTTGTTCTGTCTCGGGACTGCTTGCAGCTTCGAAAGTATGCAACAAGAAGAGTTGTGAGATAATGCACACCTGTTTTCGAGGTTTCATAACCTACTACCATGTAATTAGAGATGTTTACACAAATAGGGCACCAAAAGCAGGCACAGCAAACAACCAATTGGCTGTGAGCTCCTGTGTTACGGGTATTGTATGTCTAATGTCTCAGTCTGTTCTGGGACTGCTTTCAGTGTCTAAAGTAAGCAAAACGAAGGGTTGTGAGACAAGATAGAGGTTGCACACCTGTGTTCGACATTTCCTAATCCACTACCATGTAATTTAGAGATGTTCGCACAAATTAGGCACTCAAAGCGGTTAGCTACGAAAAGTAGCTGATTAAGCACAGGCTTACGTTCTGCAGTTGGCACTGGTTGAGGAGACGTCTCCTGTGCCTGAGGAGCAGGAGAGTGACCTGCTGCTGCAAAACCAGCCGCATCTGAAATTACCAACAGTCGACTTATCGGATGTTTTAGTTCCGTCCGATACTGTGCAAGAATGAGCATCCATACAGCATATCACACGACTAGCCTAAACACGTGCGAGCAGTGGCGTCACTAGGGTTAATGGCACACCACGACACGACACGACACGACACGACCCGAACCCTCCTCCTCCCCCCCCCCCCCCCCCCCCCCCCCCCCCCGCCCGCCCGCCCGCCCGCTTGGCCCACCGCGACCCCCCCCTTGTGACGCCACTCCGTGCGAGACTGTCATAAATGGTTGGCGCCGCCACTGCTGACAGACAAGCTCTACTGGATTATTTTACTCACTGCTTAGAATCGCTGCTGGCACCGCTTGCAAGAGGGGAACATGGCGAACCGAGCTACTCCGGCGACGTTTCGCCCGCTCGTATCTGTCAACACGGCCGGGTTGCTCTCGCTTGAAAGCGAAAACACTCGGAACAAAGTCCGGATGTTCGGGGTCGCTTGACGGTGCTCCTGCGTTCATGATGTAATATGAAATAGGATTCCAACTAAAGTTTCCGTAAACTCACCTGTAATAAAGTGCTTCCCGCACAAGCGATCGTGATCCGACGGTGTCCACTTGTCTCTTTTTACCGCACCTATCCAGCTTCTCCGGCGGATCGGGCAGGCAGGAAACACGTGGAAACTTACGCTCGACTCTTTCCTCGACCTTTCCGCACAGCCCCAGGCAACACAGCTCTGCGGCATTTTAACGTGCACGCAAATAAACTTGATCAACTACAAAACGCCATAGCAATGCATGGGGCTCATGGCGGCTTCCGCCCACAGCCCTAGACCGGAAGTGCGACCGACGCGCCACCACCGCGCCGTGACGTCACAGAGATGAGTTGGTGTATACTGCCGTTTTCCTTCATTGACTAGAAAAGTCGTCATTTTGATTTGCGGCTATGTACGTGAAAAGTATCAGGAAATCTTCAGCACCTCTAATTCCAAACATTCCTCGTGAAAACGATGTTCCAGCGTCTTCTGAAACTGTGAGAAAAGCCATAAAGAAAAGTTGCAATGCATTTTTCAAATGAAAGTATGTATGTGTAGCATACAAAAAGTATGATCAGTGTATTTCACGTAATTGATAAATCAGAAATTGAAATCCTGCTTATCACTTTATTCAAGTTTCCGAGCCTGCCTCACTGTACACACTCCTTTGTGATGATGGTGTGCCATTAATCCTGCGTAAAAAGAGAAGAGAAAATTACTTCATGGTCACCCTATGATAAAACATCACATAAGTCGCTCAGGGGACCACTAAGTGAGGAAGGCAAGATAGTAACACCTGCATCCTGACACATGGGTGAGGAAAATCGGACAACAGCATTTCTGAAAGCCTGATATGTTAGACATTGGTGGTGTGCCTTCTTTGCATGCCCAGGGCTATGGTACAGGTAATAGTGTTCATTGTAGGGCACAGCCTTTGTTACCTCGAACCTTAGGCACCATAAAGAATTTGTGTGACCAACAATAGCCTTTTCCAGATTCAAGGTTGCAGCTGCTACATTTGAAGCGCATTTGGATTGATGAGGGCAACGAGCTTGATTCTTACCTTAGAGCGATAAACCGGAACCCACTGCCTGCAGCGGAAATGGCACCCCCCCGGTTGCCGCCATCTTGCCTGTTTGCCACATTAGTGATCACGTGACGTTAAAATGGCTGCGCCCAAAGGTGGGCCAGATCAGATTGGCCTGATCGTGGTCAGCAGATGGGCACTCTGGGGCTGCGTTCGAATCTTACTCGAATGGCGCCGAGTTATTCCGGCGGATCAAGTCACGTGACAGGACAGATGCAGCAACGCTGGACGCGGGTAGGTATGAGAACTTCACCCAGGAGTGAAATAGAAGCTGCGTTCGATTTACTTGCACCTCCGGCACCGGTGCAGAAAAGGGCGGGGCGGTGTACTTCCGGTCGTATCTCAATACATATACCGGAAGTAGACTGCCCTACACTTTTCTGCACGGGCGCAGGAGGTGCAAGTAAATTGAACGCAGCTTTTATCTCACTCCTGGGTGGAGTTCTCGTGCCCGTTGCGTTCGAAAACCTACGTCCACGTTGCGCTGCATTGTCTTGTCACGTGACTTGATCTGCCGGATTAACTCGGCGCCATTCGAGTAAGATTCGAACGAAGCCCCAGAGTGCTCATCTGCTGAACGTGATCTGGCCAATCTGATCTGGCCCACCTTTGGGCGCAGCCATCTTAACATCACGTGATCACTAATGTGGCAAACAGGCAAGATGGCGGCAACCGGGGGGGGGGGGGTGCCATTTTTGACCGCTGGTTTACCGCTCTAAGTTTACTCAAGCTCGTTGGATGAGGGACACAATAAAAAACATCTGAGAATTGGCATTTTCAGGGCTGTGATAATATTAAAATTTTATTCTAGAAGTTTAGTATAATGCGGTATTTGATTCTGGTTTCAAGACTGTAAACGACTTAATTTTTGCGAGGGTTTAGTTTTTGCGAGTTTATCGAAATTGCTTAAAATTGTACATTCAAAATGTAACCCCATGGATACGAATGCATTGAACATTTCTCTTGCCTGCGAAATTCTGTACCTGCAAAGTATTCCCAACACTAACACATCATAAAATGTATGAAATATAGTGCTCGCAAAAATAAAGTCGTTTATGCCATTCAAAACTTTCAAAGAGCTCGCAAAGTCACCACTGCGATGGATTTGCTTTGTGCCGTGCGCTTCTCGGCATGTGCCAGTGCGCTGCATAGATTAGTTCTAGATTAAATCCCAAGAATAAGGCATTTGAACGTGGAACATAGGCACACTTGATAAACTAAAATCTCAAAATTTTCACATCGACTGGCTTCCCAGGAGACTTATTGGGTTCGCATGCACTGTTACTCCGCACCAAGCAGGCTCTCTTGGGATGACAAGAAAAAACCCTGCGCCCTGAACGCTGTTCGAACCAGCACTCGGGAGAGTTGAGAAGCCTGTCAAGCACTCGCTTTCGGGACAAGCCGCTTACTTCCGGTGGCTTCATATCCATCTGTACGATGCACCATCACATAATAGAGATCAGTGGGCAGACGTCACTTTTACTCTTGTGATGCAGTTTCCCAGGTTCCCATACGTTGCAAACTGCTAGCCAAACTGAGTCAGTCCTGCAGCCCTGCGGGAAATGTCAATTCCACTCTTTTTAGACGTAGACATCATCATTTTGCGTGTACCTGAAAGAAGCTCTAACACAAAGGAAACAAAATTATTGGCCCTTTTTTAATGCCTCCTTTATTTTTGATGAGAACATAAATACAACTCACACGCTATTACAGATTCAGTGGTGCGGCTTAATTTATGATGAGCACTTTTTTATATAATTTCCAGCTTTTAGAGAAGATTCAATATGAGGTTCGGACATGAATGATTGCTACCCTATTGGAAAAACGTGCAAGAAACAAACCTGCTCCTTGTACAGTTCTGGTATGACACCACTTTAATTTCTTGTTATTATGCATGCAGCTAGTTTGGTTTGGCGTTCTGCATAACTGGAGATACCGGCACTGCTATGGCTCCGGGTATGTCTATACTGGCAGCCAGTTTGCTTGCCGATATGATTTGGTGTGGCTGGTATGATTTTGCGTCCGATGACGTAGGCGACCGCAATCTTTCCACCAAAACGCTTATACCACAGGACCACCGGTATAACCAAATCATACGTGCAGAAAGACGACCGCCATCTTCCACCAAAATGTCCATCGTTTATCACCGGTATCGTTACATACACCAAACATGTCGAAAAAGAACATAAGTCGCGTTTACATGAATGTGACTCAGTCGCATTGAATCCAGTTGCCGCATTCAAAATGCGGTCATGTAAACGGCATAATGCGCAAATAAAGCGCATCGCATTAAAGTCACTAGACAGAGGTGGATCGAGATGGCGAGTGCGCATTCATTTAGCCCATGTAAACGGAGGTCGCATCGCATTTTGGAACGGGGAGGATTACCGGAAGGCGCTCGCTGCGGGAGCGAGTGAACAGCTGAGAACATGGCGGCGGCCAACCCCGTCGGCGGCGCCGAGAGCGGTCCCGCAATTTTTTTCCCGAGAACAAACGCAAGCTTTTATTGAGATCATAAGTAAGCGGAATATAGCGGAGCTGCTCGGTGAGGGCGGCCCCGTCCAAACCCTTGCGAAGTACGACTTGCGCGTCCGAAGGGGTCACAAAGGCTTCGGTGCAAGCACAAACGACACCGAGAGCTCCGAGCACTGTAGAGCACTGCATGGTAGCGCAGAACGAGCAGCTCCTACCTCGGCACCGTTCCTGGCTGCGCAAGAGCCTCTCGGACTCGGGGTCCGGTTGGTCCGGTCGCGATCGGCGAGGTCTGGCGCGGCGAAACGCGGAGGCTTCCTCAAAGCGTGCACACACACGTCGCCTCTCGTTCAGAGTGAACCGGCGGCCCGGCCTGGAGTCCTAAACGCTTTCCGTCTCCCAACGTCTTCCACAGCACCGAAGACAGCGGGCACGATCTTTACGTTCACTGAATGCATCGAAAGGCCTCCACGTGCGATGCACCGGAAAACGTGGTGCGGCTAGTGCCGGAACGGAACTGCATAACTTCGAGCTTTGAGTCAACGTGCACGGCAACAAACCGATCGTGACACCAAGCCGCGGATACCGCATCGCCGGTCGACAGCGGCAAACGGCCCGTTGCTCGTATCGTGGGCCGTGACTCGTACTCGGCCAACTTGGCGTCTTTTCGTGGCCCCTCGCGTCGTCGCAACCAGCCACAAACCCGACAAACCCACCATCCCGAAACCGTAGCGACCGTAGCCTTCGTTGGAGAAAAGCGAAACCGAAACGTAAAGCTTCCGCCCAGTGGCTTCGCTGCCGCGGCTTTTCTAACTTCGCGGCTTCCACTTCCGGTCGTCGCGGAGATGGCGAACAATGGCGAAGATTGAGCGGTGTTGGCTCGTTTACGGTTTACGGGACAGATG